CACAATGATCTAGGAAAATTTCAGTTCAGTGGAGATGAAAGAAAAAACACAACAAATGTCTGGAGGAGAATATTTCCTAATACACCTGTGGCTGCTCTTTGCAGAAAGAAGATCTTCTCTGTTACTACTGGAAAAAAAAAGTATGGAATTAGTCTCCTCTGAAAGAATTTTTAACCTGTCACCCAGGAGGAGATGTTGTTCTGTCCAGTAAAGTAAAGGGGGATAGAAGTAAGGCTAGAAGATACTAAATAAAAAGAGAACCCCCCAGCCCAGTAATACGAAGAGGTTCCTTGGGACAAGGCTGTATAAAGTATTATTCAAAATACCGTAGAGAAACATTGATATTGTTGTTATATTTGTTTTGTTTGAACCATTCTTCTGAGTTTTCTGAGATTTGCCTGTCACTAGTAACTTTTAATGAGTACTACTTTACTAATGGAATTTCCCCATTGAATGCAAATGATTCCAAAAGTTTATTCTGAGAATATTTTCATGCTTGCCTTTGTTAGACAGCTGGTAGGGGGAAAGGGTTTTAAAAATAAAGAAAATTATATATAATGAATAACCAGTTGCAGTAGATGCTAGGAGACTAAATGTATTTTTACCATAAGAACATAATGCTGCTACAACCTATCCTTCCCCACCCCCATAGAATAAAGAACTCTTAATGAAGGAGAGGATGCTTTTATAAATCTATAATCCATTTCTGTGCTATATAATATTCATTAGATATTCACTAGCAGTTTCTTCCACCTACCACAGATTTTATAGGTGAAAATCTCTTTTTTTTTTTTTTTTTTTTTACAACCTTGGATATGGAAACAATGATAGATACTAAACTAATATACATAACCACTTTTTGCAATATAATAATTAACATCTTAACATACTTATACGCTAAAATACATAGGAGGTCAACTTGCATTTTTTTGACATAATCTTCCAACTCTTAGGTTATCAAGACTTCAGATTTCCCCCAAAAGATACTTCTCCCTGGGTGTAACTTTGTTCTAATAAAGTCATCCCAATGGTGGATTTTCCTCTGGTGTGTATATGTTATAAATAACAGGATTTTCTAGTCACTTTGTTTCAAGAATTCCGAACTTCCTCTTCTTCTCCTCCTTGCTCAGAAAACATTAGATTTTCTGAAGTAGCTGCTGAGCTAGGCTGTTTGGTTCTGCCTCTATTCCTAAAGAGTGTCAATGCCAGCTTGTTAGCTCTGCTTCTGTAGCTTTGGTCCGAAGCTGGTTTTCTGTTTACATTCAGCCATTTCATCAGCAACTTAGCTTGTTTTAGTAATTTTTTCAAACGGAAGCTACAGGAGGAACATGTCATTACAGTGAAGAATACCTCCCTTAAACTGAGAGTATCTTTCACATCTTTTTATATATATATATATATATTTTTTTTTGGCAAGAAAGGCTTTTTGGAAGCCGGAAACATGGCGTAATGAGGATTTAACTGACAGTGGACAGTGTTCATTTTCAGAGCATACCGTGACCTCAGTGAAACCTGTGATTAACCTAAACTTCTTTAAAAATAAAAATCTGTTTTTTTTTTTTGTTTGTTTGTTTTGTTTTGTTTTAAGGGGAATGGGCAGGACTATCCCAAACCAAAGCAATGCTACTCCTCATCCCTTTTGGCCTGTGAACACAATGGCTTCCCATGCCTATACTTGCTGACAGGATATTATTGCTTTCCTTTGATATGTAATTTTATAGTATCTGCTTCTAGTCAATTGCCCTTTGATATGTAATTTTATAGTATCTGCTACTAGCTTTTCAGTCCTCTTTTTTATTAGTGTTGGTCAAATCAGGTGTATAAAGTAAGAACATCACTGTGGGAGTTGGAGTGGAATGACAATGAGTTGCCCATTATTTCTGCTGACAGATCCCAAGTTCAGGGTTATCAAAGACCTTTTTCCAAGCTCTCTGCCCTAGCTTGGCCAAGGAACTAGTCTCAGATCCTTAGGCTCTGCTCTTGCAGGCAGATCTTCATGTCTGGACTCCTACTGATCTCAGCAAGGTTTTGGGCAACATACAAGCACTAGGCAAACAGTAATTTGTTTCTGGATGATTTTCAGAGCTACTCAGCTGCTGAGCTGCTAGAGTTTCCAATGGGCTGGAGAAAAACAAATACACAGATCATAAAATTTCTCATCTTCTGTATGCTCTCAATAACGTTCTCTGCTCATGTATCATTGGTGGGCCCTTGGGACCTGGGAACTGTGCTCCATATAAGTGTATACACACACACATGCATATATATATCTTTGTGTCTGTACAAACACATTTGTATGTGCATACATGTGTATACTGACATCATGTAGTTCATTTTTGCAGAAGTATGCACATATATAAAGCCACAAGTGGGCATTTGTTTCCTGAGTGCCTTCATCAACTTCCTGATTTACCATCTTCTCTGGTTTAGATGATCTGTTTTCCTCCATAGGATTCTGCTCTGACTTTTCTTAGTCAAGTCACTTCATCCAGAAAAAGCACAAAGCCTAAGAGAAAAGTCAGAGACCTAAGAAAACTAAAATCTCTTGCATTAATATATACATATATTTATTTAAATGAGTTACATGAAGAAGTATCCTGTTTTCTTGCAATGATGACGTATTAAAAGCAGCTGATCTGGGGTTTTGGATCTGGTTCCTCCCTCAATTACACAAATATACATAAGGAAAAACACTGCCATGTCCACTGAGTGAAATCTTATAAAACTATCTAAGAATATCGCCTTTTGTTTTTGAACTTTGGGCTGATATCTTTATAGTTTTTGTCTTGTAAGAGTGGTAAATGCAAAACGCACTTCTGAAATCCATTTGTATTTCTTTACTGATCCAGAAAATGACCACAAGTAATTGCTCCAACAGACAAATCTCAAAAATATACTCTGATCTCCTAAGAACACAGGAGTAATATATGTATTAAATTGTGGTTATATACAACAGGTATGTAATTATTAAATTTTTTTTCAGTACAGCAAGAGTACTGTGGGGCTTAGCTGTTTTTTCTAAACTATAACAAGTGCCACTCTTTTTTCAAAATATTTCTAGACTGGGAGTAAAGAAAAAAATCCTTCTATTGACTTCCTTAAGTATTTTATACAAATAAATGTTTCCTGTTTCCAAGTGATCCATGCATATCTGGCATATCTGCTTTTTTTTTTTAATGCAGCAATTGACAAAGCATAAAATATTCTTCATGCAACAAAAAGTCTGTTAGGACTGTGAGTTTTGACAAGGAGGAATTAGGATACACTGTAGCACAATGTCTAGAGTTTAATTTCTCTTAAAACTTGTATTTAACCATTAAAATAAATTTATAGTAAATATAAACTTGAAACTGATTTTTATAAGCTATGATTGCAAATCAGAGTTGGTGACTTGGAAGACATCCCAACGATACCTGAGGGGTGAAGCAGGAGAATTAGAGATACTATGGAGAAAACACACAGAGCTGATCATTTTTCCAACTATATCCATATAAAAAGCTGTAATTCTTGTTTCTTATAGCCTTTTTGTAGTTCTCTTATTGCCTCCAATTTGTTAAGGAAATTGTGGCATCGCTACAAATAGCTTCTTTAAAGCCTTCTCAAGCTGTATTTCACTTTGTAAACACCCCTGAAAAACAAAATATGCAGGGCTAGATCCTGCCCTCTGTTATGTGCAGAAAATCCTCTTGGAGTTCAGTGAGGTTGATGCATGCGGCTGAAACTAATATCTGGCCTATCCCTATGCACAGGGAGGCCACAGACGCATCATATTCTTGTTTCTCTCTTCCTCCAAACTTTTGTTGGATGCACCTTCTCCCCCCAACCCAAGGCGTTTTTTGCTTTATTTTGCTTTGTTTCTTTTTAATTAAGGAAGAGGGGAAGGAATGATTTTTAAAGTTAGGAAACTCATCTGAAGATCCACATGGCTTCACCAAGGGCCTGCCCCACTGACCATCTCACAAAAAGCTGGACACTGAAATACAAATTTGTTATAAGATTAAATAATCTATTATAATTGTTTATAAGATGAAAGTCATGGAATTGGAGTAACAAGTAAGCGCTGGAAGTAAAATGTGCTAAACTGAACACAAAGTGTCGTAATTGACTATACATGTTCCATAAGAATTTGCGGAACAGCTTAGCAGTCTTAATTTCACCCACCACAAGGGCAAGTTGCATACAGTAATAATTTTGTGTTTGTAAATCACCTTAAAGAAATAGATTCCTATATAATGTCAGTGCTCTTTACCATATACTATGTATTTCCCTTTTTTACTGTTAAACTCCAGAGGTAGAAAGATTTAATTTTTCCTTGGTGTTATCATTGTTACCCTTGTATTTGACCTTATAAAGAAAAAAAAAAGGGGCATTGTTCATATAAAAATACAGAATAATCGGAAAAAAAAATATTGCTCGTTGTCTGAGGTAAGTTTTACACTGATTTAATTTTAAGAGAAAAACTTTTTTTTTCCCCAAAAAATATTCACAGTATAGCATACTGCAGTTTTGACAGAAAAATCCACTTTTGAGAAGTTCCCATCTCAGGGGGTCTTTCAGAGGTGTCCCACTGCCCTGACCAAAAGCTGCTTCCGAACATAAAACAGGGGTCATTTCCCTGACTGGCAGCTCCTATTCCAAAAGATGGGGCAGCAGCAGCAAGGAGCTTGCAGTCCAGTTTCTCTTGGCATGCAAACTGTCTTTTAAGGTAAACACTAATATTTAGACAGGACAATATTTACTGATATTCCCCTGGCCAAACGCTGCATTTGCAACTATAAAGCATGTGAGGATGGCAAAGCAGTTATACGCCTTCTTAAGATCGTTTTTTTTCCCCTTTCTAACTGTAATGGGTGACTGCTTTTCTGCCTAAACAGCTCTAAAGGGCTGTGAAAACTGAAGTCTTTCAAAGCTGTTAAATGTTTCCTCAGATTTACAACAAAAATTCTGCATTACAAATATTCTAGTAAAATCTCCAAAGCAGTGCAATCAGCACTTACATAATTTTTCGTTAAGTCAGTGTTTGTGTATTCAGTACCTAGAAAATAAGGAAAGTGAACGTGGGTAAGGGGGGGGGGGGATAACAAAAAAGCACAAAGGCAAGGAAAAAAATATAAAAAAAATCCTACCCTGAAACAGCCATGCAGCTATTAAACATATGCCAAAGTAAACAATAGTGTGAGGGTCTGCCATGCCTTTGCCCTGCAGGTAGACGGCAGGCGGCACAGAAGGAAAGCAAATGGAAAGGAAAAGAGAAAGACAGTACAGGATGTGGATGAGATGCCGAGCCCTGGGAGCATGAACGGCCTGATTGTGATCCTCAAGTCACACCATCAGCCATGCAAAACAGGACATACCTTTCTGGCTTGCTGGTTCTGCCGCCTGAAACAAAGCAGTCCCATTCTCAGCGGGAGGCCAAATCAAAATGAAATTTTATTTAGTCTGCACTGTCCCCAGACTGGGTTTCAGAATGACTGCTTTAGGAGATAGCATGGATGTGGCTGATGCATGCTTTGCATATGAAACTGCAATAGGAAAAAAAAAAATCTACATAATCAAAAAAATCTGTGCTGTGTGTATGGCAAAAAAAAAAAATCCTGGACGTTAGTGAATCAGCTACAATGGATGTTTTAAAATATGACCTTTCTGAATAAAATGCACATTTGTGCTCTGCAATAGTATTTTCAATAAATATATAATAGATCATTTTGCATGTAATTATTCAGAAGCTGCCTTGAGACACTGAAATATCAAATTATTTTCTTTTTTTTTAAATCATGAATCAGAATTACATCTTGGAAGACACACAGAGAAATACATATCTAAAGAAAGAGGAATTCTATGTCTTGCAGTGGTAGGGACTGCAACTTAGAATCCTCTTCAATTTAATGTTTAGTTTAAGTCCCTTCCTCCTAGAGAATCCAGAGAAAGGCCTACTGCAGTAAAGAACATCTGCTTTTATGTGCCACTAATCTAATGCACTCCACCTTGCACTTTTAAGAAAGCACCCATTCTTTGATTACACACTTAATTTTACAGACTATTAATAAATAAAAAAGATCATCAACTGATCACACAGTATTTTCATCAGAAGTTAGCAATAACTTACAAAGGCAAGGAACAGTCTGCAGAATATGCAGGGCATACACCATGTAATGCCTTTGTTGTCAGTTATGCTGCAAATGAGATTTTCAAATAGGATTTGCAGAGGCAGGGCAGTGATCAACACAGTGCAACATCCAGGAGAGAGAAGTTGAGCACAGTATTCTGTGAAACAAGGGGGCAGAATGGAGCCTGTTTGTAAATACATATTATTATCCAAAGAAAACACTTATCACTGCTTGATTTTGCTTCACTAGCTGCTTGGGACTCGCTGATACCAATAATTTAGTATGTGCGCATCTGTGTGGGCTTGTGTGTTTGCATATATTTGCGTGCAGTGCATGTAAGCCTGTGTGCTATGTACATGTATATGCTCGGTGCTTACGTTGTAAAAGACAAGCGAAAGGCAGAACAAACAATACACATGTTTTCAATTGACAGATATTTCTACGCTAAAACAAGCAGTGCTAATACTGTGCTCTATAGCATATGGGCAGGCAAAGAATGGGAAGAAAAAACCCATCAAATCTTCAAGAATGCAAAGGGGATAACGATTCCAAATAAACAATACAGATAAAAACTTCCAAGAATAATGAGATACAGTGCAAATCATTCACACAATGTGCTTTCACACAGCAATGACGGAAGTCACTGACAACAATGCAACCATGTGCAAATACTCCTTGGAGAAACAGTCGAGCAAATTTTGTAATTCTGTCTTCTGTGCTTTGCAGGCTGAGTTTGAGCTTCTCTGCAGCAAAATGCACTGCAAAATTGGTGCTTTAGAATTAAGCATTGGACATTATAGAAGGTAACTTCATAATGAGTTCTCCTATTGCTATTTAAAGCTAGAAGCTCATAAGGAGCACAGTGAAAAAATATAACATTTGTTCTCCTTATGTCTTGGAACAACTGTTTTTATATTTGCAGTCATCTGAACTGTTGTTCCAAAGAAGATATTAAGATAGACCCCAGTTTCATGCTGTATCATATTTATTCTGATGTATATCTTATAGCTAAGCTTTGTCTTTACTGGGGTTTTTTTGTGTGTGTGTTATTATTTTTACAAACGCTATGTGTTTCTCACAGAACTTCCCACTTTGGGCAAAAAAAGAAATATGTGATTGCTTTAAAAATAGAAAACCAAAAACAAAGCTAGTATTCCCAAAATTCAATGCACCTGGCATTCACTTTATACCTAATAAGCATCCGTGAATATGCAAATGCTCACTGTCTCCAGTAACCTCATTAATTTATTCCTCAGGCAATCAAAGAATGTGAACCAGTCCTCTGCTACTAATACTGGAACTGGTGCGCTGTTCAGCATTGCTAGAATCAGCTGAAAGTACATTCTGCATATTGAAAAACTGTTTCATCTTTCCTCCTGCCTTTGCCACTCTAATTCAAACAAAGACTTCCTACCTCAGTATACATAGCTGACAGCAAAAGTTGAAAAATGCCAAAAAATAATTAAGACATGTATGTATGTATAATATGCGTGTTTGTGTGCACATATATGCATGTATTTCTTCATGAGCACACAGAAGCAAATACTTTATAGAAGTCTCCCCAGAATTCCAGTGTAGAAACTGCTTGAGTTTTCCTCTTTATTTATTTGGAGGGAGCGGGGGGAGCTCGGGAAGGGGGGAGGAGGATGACCTGCCTCCCACTCTGCAGAGCAGCTGAATAATCTTTTCCTTTGCCCACATTAAAAGCCCTGAATAATGTTTATAAAATGTTAGGGAATCCCGGTAGGTTTCCTATTTAACAAGCCATGTATGACAAATCACAGTGTAATGTACTACGTTCTTAATCTTTAATTAGAATGTGAATATCTGCTAGAGAACGCAGTTAACTTTGACACATTAAATCTTCTGGTTAAAGTGCCTTACAGGAAGTGCAAAGATGAAACACTGCAACAATCTACTGCCTCTCTCCATTCACCCAGACAGTTGGGGAAGGATGATAACATCTTGTAATACCTGCTCTGTAGTAATTAATCGCTGTGGTATTTAGGACCATTCAAGTAGACAAATATGACAGAGACAGGGACAATTAGGAACCTTGTTCAAGCTACATTAACTTTTCCAGCTATTACAACACAGCAGCTCAAGTTTGCTTGTAAAAGCTGCAGAGGGATTGTTATGCATTAGCCGTGCGATTATTAATGAAAGAAAAGGAGAATTGTGTTTATTGTAGTTTGAAAATTGCAAATAAATTTCAATTATCTGCTATGTCATTTTGTTAAACATGCATTCTGGAAATGCCTTTGTACTCTAAATCACGAGCTACTTAGAGCAAACTAATACTAGAAAGCCTTTGGGAGACCTAAAGTCAATATTTTTGTTGAACTGGCCTTCTTTCTTGTTGAAACTGGAGACAGATTGAGCTACCTGGAGGTATTTCAGGTAGTTAGCGAACCCTGTACACACTCACTCTGCTCCTGTGCACCAACAGGCGGTTGCATCAGACTTCTTGAAAGCTTGGGCACTTCTCTGATTGAACGTGCTCTCTGCTCCACTAAAAGGAGACGGCTGAACAACCTTAGCGATCGCATGCATAAAGTACACGCAAATATCTAAAGAAATATTGCTCTAAATGTTTTTTGGGAAAAACAAAAGCTCGGAAAGCCCTTTGCCTCTTCCCCTTTGCTGCTTCAGCCATCCATAGTATGGACTGAATGAAACACAAGGGAAAGATTTGGGACCTGGTATGGATTATGTATTTTAAAGGTTACATGCTGTGCTTTACTTTCCCATCAATAAACAGCTGCAAATGCACTGCAGATTGTAAAGTTTATGTTTTAACTATATATTTGAGACAGCGCAATTTGCCGTTGCTGCTCTGTATGGCATGAGCACGTACTGGTTCTCAGCATTAAAGGAGGTCGGCCAGAAAATGACAGAAGTGGACAAAATGCTACAAAGGCTTGTACATGGATATTCTGTTAATTTTTTCTTTTTCTTTCTTTTTTTTTTAAATGAAATCACCTAAACCTGTGGCCCTTTTATGTTCACTTTCTATGAATATTTGAACTAGAGTGTCTTAGCAGCGTGAATGCTCGCAGAAAGCTAATTTGAAAGTCATACGTGCAAGTGTTTGTAGAAAACGAATTCCAAATTTGCATGTGCAAATATTTGCCCTGGATATGCTCGTACGCTCACCCAGTTAGGGTGCAGAAGGAAGAGCATGTGGCTTGCGTGGCCAATCACGTCACACGATCCCAGCTTGGGTTTCAAATATTGTGTCAAATTTGCCCAGTGAACTTGTTTACGACCAAACCATAAAGTAGGGGGGGGGCAGAAAAAGTGTTAAAAGTGTATGAAACGCATTCAAACAACAAATGTTTGCAGAGATTTGAGATGAGGAACCGAGCATTTCAAAAGCAGCGACAGAGGCATGCTGACACCAAACTGAGTTTGTTAGAAAGTGTTTGCTCCACCCTAGCAAAGCTGCTTTTGCCTCCTCGCCCCTTCCAGGAGACGGAAAGGCAAAAGAAAAGGTAAAAACACCAATCGGGGCAGGTCGCATTCTCAACCCATCTGCCCAGTTCATGGTCACTCCATTAAGACTCAACTCTTAAAATGTGAAATATTTAGCAGCCTTCAAGTGCTCTCTGGAGGTGTGCAGGCAAGAACACAACCATTTATTTTCAGGTGAAGCCTTCCATGGTTATATATATCTACATATATATATTTCCTTTTATTCTTCTTTTTTTTTTGATTTTTGCTATTTGTGAGTGTGACTTACTGTGGTCTGCGTCACTGTGAGCTGGGAAGATGAGGAAAAGCCAGCTTGGGAGGGCAGAAATCTGCCTTGCCACCCCAGAATCGGCTGTGGCGGCCTAAGCGCAGGAGGGGGCCGGGGCAGGGGGAAAGCAGCTCAGAGCACAGCAACAATCCCCCCTCTCAGCTGAGCTGCAATGATGTCAGCTTTCTGATTACAAACTGCTTATTTATGCTTCAACAGCTGCCAAGAGCAGCAAATAAGCGGCTAAAAGAGTGTCTAGACCAGGCATTCAGGCCTCTATTGTGTGCCGGTTGTTACCTGGTTGACAGCGATGGGTACAGCTGCCGGGTGTGAAAGCGAGCAAGAGATGGGGAGGCAGTGATTGACAGGAGGGCCCTGGGGGTCAGGCACAGCCGGTCCCCATGGCCCCACGTCTTTATATTCCCCCGCTCCAAAGGGAAAGCTGTGGCTCTGCCTAGAGGTTGGAGGTGAAAGGAAATGTTTGAGGGTAATGAAAAAAAAAAAGAAGGGAAAAAAAATCCTTTGGCCAAATTTGCAACCATGAACGCTTGCTCTGGCAGGGGTTGAGGCCAAAGTGCTAGGTGCTGTTCTGTGTATGCAGAAATGGTTAGTGGTAACAGGCATAGTAGTGTGTTAAAAGCAAATGTGCAAAAACGCCTGCTTGGACCATCTTGCACACTGGGGCTTAAGATGCATGGTGCAGTGTTATTTTTGTGCAGGCTAAAAACTAGTGATGCTGCTGAAAGCTAGTCATGTGCATTATGAAATTCATGCTGCTCCACAGCTAGCTGGAAAAGCATTTATGAGATTTTTCTGAAAAACAGTCAGATATTTGGGAGGAAAAAAAAATGCATGTGCAGATTAGACAATCAAAGCTCCCATCTACTCACACGGTGATTTTTTCTCTTTTTGGTCAGATTCTGAATAGACAATCTCTCTTAATGCACCTCTCTGGAACATTTAGTCAGTATGCAGGAGTGACCAAACCCCATTAACTGTAATTTTTGACCAATGTAGAGGTGTTCTGAGGCTGGTTCTGCTCTCATAGCCAAGGACAGTACCAATCCGACTGAATTCAAAGGAATGACATCATTGATTCAAGCCAACTGCAATCACCAGCAAGCTATCTGAATTTCATACCTCCCACTCAATCCTACCTCATGGTAGGGTTCAGAAAAGAGCCAAGAGTTCTCACAAGTTTTTAAAGGGATGAAGCCAATGAACTACTACTATTATTTTTAGTCTTAAGAAAACCAAAACCAGATTCAAAAATCTTGCAACAACATGTACAAATATAAAGACAATATAAAAATACAAAGAGATCTCAGTATACCTGAGATGAATTAAAGATTTGCATGCACTACCAAGTCCACCCCTGTCTTCACCCAGACATGCACAG